AGAGTGGTGATCCCATAGGTGCTCCTTCTATCTGTTTGTATCTTTGTCCATTGTGGATGAAGTACGTGTTGGTTAGGCAGTGGTTGGTCAGGTCCAGGATGTATTCGGGGGATTGTATTTGTTTTGAATGGCTGTCAAGGCTTCATTAATGGGCACTTGTGTGAAGAGAGATACAACATCGAAGCTCACAAGTAGGTCATTGGGATGTAGGTTTTGCTTCTTTATTGTTTCTATGAACTGGAAGGAGTTTGTAACGTGTGAAGGGATGGATTCTGCATAGGGCTGAAGTTGCTTAGCGAGAAATTTAGCGAGATTTTGTAGAGGTGAGCCTATGGAGCTGACTATTGGTCTGAGTGGTGTTCCTTCTTTGTGTATCTTGGGGAGGCCGTAGAGTTTGGGGCATCTGGATGATTTTTCTCTGGGGATGATTCTTAGCTGGATTTCTTCACTGATAGGAGAGGCTTTTATTTTGGATTTGGTGGTTTTTTCCAGATAGGTGGTGGGATCTGTTTTTATAGGTTGGTAGGTAGGGTCTTGGAGTAGATTTGATAGTTTTGCTTGGTAGTCCGATGTGTTCATCACAACAGTGGCATTACCTTTGTCTGCTGGGAGAATGATTATGTTGTTGTCTTTCCTCAGGTTGGTGAGTGCTTTCTGTTCTTCTTTGTGTAAATTGCTTCTGGGTGGTTTGCTGGAGCAGAGGATGTTGGTGACTTCAAGTCTGATTTTATTGGCTTCATCTGGGTTGATTTTGGTTAGGCTAGCTTCGACTCCGCATATGATGTTTTCCGTGGGGATGCGTCTCGGGGCGACTGCAAAGTTGAAACCTTTGGAGAGTACTTTGGTTTCAGTTGAGGTGAGGATCCTGTCTGATATGTTATGTATTGTTTGTTTCATGGGTTGTTGTGGAGGGTAGCTGGGCTTCTGGCGTTTCTCTAGTTTGTGGAGTTTGTTGGCGTGTGTGTCTGTCTTATGTGAGGTCTCAGTTTCAGCTCTCCAGACGGCTAGTTGTTTGCATTTGTCCCAGAGTGCAGGGTGGATTTTGTTACAGAGTTTGAGGTGAAGAGTGAGCAGATCTTTGTTGGTTTGGTTTAGTAGGTATCTTTTCTTATGTAGTTCGTTTCTGATTAGGGATAGTTCAGTTCGTTTCAGGATCCTTTCGGTAGCTGGGGTTTTAGAGTGGAATTTAAGTTGGAAGCATGTGGGAATTAAGTTGTTGTCTCGGCAGTTGCGTAGGAACAAGAGATCACATAAGATGGTGGCTCTTCGGATTTCTAGTTTCTCGTAGGTTCTTGTCAGCTGGAAGGTTTCCTCCCCGTAGAGGTGAGATATTTGCTTTCGTAGATTTTCACGGGTACAGGAATGCAGGTTTTGGTGTCCTCGGGTGTCTTCCCGTGTAAAAGTTGGGGTGTCTAGGCGACGTTTCGACGAGGTCTCAAACTAGAGAAACGCCAGAAGCCCAGCCACCCTCCACAACAACCCATGAAACAAACAATACATAACATATCAGACAGGATCCTCACCTCAACTGAAACCAAAGTACTCTCCAAAGGTTTCAACTTTGCAGTCGCCCCGAGACGCATCCCCACGGAAAACATCATATGCGGAGTCGAAGCTAGCCTAACCAAAATCAACCCAGATGAAGCCAATAAAATCAGACTTGAAGTCACCAACATCCTCTGCTCCAGCAAACCACCCAGAAGCAATTTACACAAAGAAGAACAGAAAGCACTCACCAACCTGAGGAAAGACAACAACATAATCATTCTCCCAGCAGACAAAGGTAATGCCACTGTTGTGATGAACACATCGGACTACCAAGCAAAACTATCAAATCTACTCCAAGACCCTACCTACCAACCTATAAAAACAGATCCCACCACCTATCTGGAAAAAACCACCAAATCCAAAATAAAAGCCTCTCCTATCAGTGAAGAAATCCAGCTAAGAATCATCCCCAGAGAAAAATCATCCAGATGCCCCAAACTCTACGGCCTCCCCAAGATACACAAAGAAGGAACACCACTCAAACCAATAGTCAGCTCCATAGGCTCACCTCTACAAAATCTCGCTAAATTTCTCGCTAAGCAACTTCAGCCCTATGCAGAATCCATCCCTTCACACGTTACAAACTCCTTCCAGTTCATAGAAACAATAAAGAAGCAAAACCTACATCCCAATGACCTACTTGTGAGCTTCGATGTTGTATCTCTCTTCACACAAGTGCCCATTAATGAAGCCTTGACAGCCATTCAAAACAAATACAATCCCCCCGAATACATCCTGGACCTGACCAACCACTGCCTAACCAACACGTACTTCATCCACAATGGACAAAGATACAAACAGATAGAAGGAGCACCTATGGGATCACCACTCTCACCGGTCATCGCAAACCTGTACATGGAACACTTTGAAACCAATGCTTTAGACAAGTCAGAACACAAACCCAAACTTTGGCTCAGATATGTTGACGACACCTTTGTAATTTGGCCACACGGGAAGGAAAAACTAGATAGCTTCCTCACACATCTCAACAGCCTACACCCCAAAATACAATTCACTATGGAAATAGAAGCCAACAACCAACTTCCCTTCCTTGACGTCCTAATCTACAAAAAACCTGATGGCTCCCTAGGACACACTATCTACCGGAAAAAAACACACACCAACCGCTACTTACATGCACAATCACACCACCACCCTGCACAAATAAACTCCGTAGCCAAGACTCTCATCTCCAGAACCAAACGCCTGGCTGACAAAGACCACTTGACAACTGAGTTACAGAATCTCTCCAATGTGTTAATCGCCAATGGATACCAGCAAAACAGGGTTACGAAGCTAATGCAAAAAGAAACACCCCCCAAAAACCAAGACACAGAAGAAAACAATGGCATGGCCCTCCTTCCTTATATCAAGGGCACTACAGATAAAATTAGCAAAATCCTCCATAAACACAATATCAAAACAGCCTTTTGCACCAACCAAAAAATAGCCAATATCCTCAGAAACCCCAAGGATAAAATCCAGTTGGAAAACCAAGGGGTCTATGAAATACCCTGCAAAGTCTGCCCAGCCACGTACATTGGACAAACAAACAGACGAATAAATGCACGTATCGCAGAACACAAGAATGCCGTCAAAAAAGAAGAAAAAACTTCCTCTCTTTTCCAACACATGAAAGAAACAGGACACGAAATTAATTTTGCAGATTCCAAATTGCTCTCTAACATGGAACATCACCACAAGAGAATAATCATGGAAGCCATCGAGATAGAGAAACACCCTCACAACATGAACAAGCGTGACGACACATCCCGCCTGCCAGACATCTGGAAATTAGCCCTCCCCACAAAAACCGACACCAGATCCAGAGGCACACAGAACGCCATCACCAATCAACCACACCAGACCCAAACCCAGACCCTCTCCACAGATAAATTACAGACACCATCCAGTAGCCAAACCATGGTGGCACCTCCGGATGCTGCACCCCCCTGCAATCCCTACACAGATCTGGCTGGCACAGGACACAAAACCACAGCTCGCCCCTATACACGAAGCCAAGCCAGAGCACAACTAAGTGCAGTACAGCCATCTTCTCAGAAAAACTCTTCACAAAGTTCAAGAGGTCAAGACACGAAGGCTTTAGCAACTAATCCACACCTAATGACCCACCTAAGTGGTACTCAGGATATCACTCAAGAAATCACTCAAGATATCCCTCAAGTAATTAAGGAACAAAAGAAGAAGAAGGAAGAAGAAGGAACAAAAGAAGAAAAGGCACACTAGCCTGGGAACTTCCTCTCTGCCCAGAACATTGGAGGCTATACACCACACCCCCTCAACAGTATTTATAGGAACTCAAACACTGAGATCCTGCTCTGTTCCAGTAACAAGAAGCCGAAAGCACCAGCCTGAAGATGACGAGTGAGACCTCGTCGAAACGTCGCCTAGACACCCCAACTTTTACACGGGAAGACACCCGAGGACACCAAAACCTGCATTCCTGTACCCGTGAAAATCTACGAAAGCATATATATATATATATATATATATATATAGGTAAAGGTACCCCTGCCCGTACGGGCCAGTCTTGCCAGACTCTAGGGTTGTGCGCTCATCTCACTCTATAGGCCGGGAGCCAGTGCTGTCCGCAGACACTTCCGGGTCACGTGGCCAGCGTGACATCGCTGCTCTGGCGAGCCAGAGCCGCACACGGAAACACCGTTTACCTTCCCGCTAGTAAGCGGTCCCTATTTATCTACTTGCACCCGGGGGTGCTTTCGAACTGCTAGGTTGGCAGGCGCTGGGACCGAACGACAGGAGCGCACCCCGCCGCAGGGATTCGAACCGCCGACCTTTCGATCTGCAAGTCCTAGGTGCTGAGGCTTTAACCCACAGCGCCACCTGTGTCCCATATAATTGTGTGTTTCCGAGCACAATTCAAAGTGTTGGTGCTGACCTTTAAAGCCCTAAACGGCCTCGGTCCAGTATACCTGAAGGAGCGTCTCCACCCCCATCATTCTGCCCGGACGCTGAGGTCCAGCGCCGAGGGCCTTCTGGCGGTTCCCTCATTGCGAGAAGCAAAGCTACAGGGAACCAGGCAGAGGGCCTTCTCGGTAGTGGCGCCCGCCCTGTGGAACGCCCTTCCAGCAGATGTCAAAGTGATAAATAACTACCTGACATTCAAGAGACATCTTAAGGCAGCCCTGTTCAGGGAAGTTTTTAACATGTGATATTTTATTGTATTTTTGGTTTTTATGGAAGCCGCCCAGAGTGGCTGGGGAGGCCCAGCCAGATGGGCGGGGTATAAATAATAAATTATTATTATTATTATTATTATTATATATATATATATATATATATATATATATATATATATGAATGAAGTAAGTAAGTTGTGAGATGCCTTCAAGACTATTCTGAAAGATGGAATATAAACATTTGAAACACATAAACAAACACAGAGAGATAAAACAATGTAAAAACCCTACAGCCAACTTTTGTAGATTTTCCAACATTTCTTTCTGATCTTTGAAATCAGTGGTATGGATATTGTTGAGAGCATCTTCCTTCTCAGAAAGCCATGCATCGAAAAGACCCTTAAGAAGAAAAAGAAAATCCTTTAGTAAGACCATACACAAAGTATTGTTAAGCAAAGTATTGTTATTATTAAGAAAGCAACAAATGCAGGGCCAGCCCAATACATTTTGGCACCTAAGACAAGCCACAAAATGGTGTCCTCCCTGCCAGGGAAGAAGGAGTGAGTGAAGGCCTGCCTCTGGAACAAGGGTGGGAAGAGACCAACAGTTCCTCCTATTCACCAAGAGGCTACTGTAGAGATGGCATTGCTGGGGATGCCAGGAGGCAGCCAGCAGATCCAGCCTCCAAGGAATGCACCACAGCTGCCACTGCCACTGTGGCAGCAGCAGCAACAACAACAACAGGCAAAGCATTCCTTGGAGGCTTCACCTTGCCTCATGGATGGGTTGGCTATGAACAAATTGGTACTGGTAACATTGCTCACCTGTTCTTCAGTAAATTGCAGCCATTTTCGAAGGACATCTTGGAGTAGAAACCAGCGATCCTCTGTCCATCTGCAAATTGTAGCCCAGCGGTCTCCTAAATGCTAAAAAGAAAAGGTAGAACATTGTAAATATGCTATAGTATTGCTTTAAGCTCAACCATTTCACCTGGCGCTGAATACATTTGAGAAAATAAGCTGTAACTTTTTCAGTAACATTCTAAGGGTCCCTATAAGTCCATAGAATATACGGCCTTGAAGTAATTACCATTCTTGTTTGATAAAGCACATTACTGAATTGCAATAATAAAATTATAAAATTAAAAAGATCAGCGATGTTAATATTAAAAGTATGGCTAGTACTCTATGAAGTATATTAAACATTGTGCATAAGCGTACAATGCTTCTAAACACTGTAATGTTGAAAAACACATGTAAAAATATAACTAGTAACTGCTTACCAGCTAATTGCATCTATATTAGTTCATTCTCTTTTTTCTAATCTTAGCAAATTTCAAAATATGAAATAACCCACTGAGACCTTCAAATTAAGAAGTGTACAACAGAGTTTGTATTTCTTACAGCAGAGGCATTTATAATTAGATAGACTATTATGAAGACGTTGATGTTTTGGATTACACAGGGAGGCTAAACATGTGGGCAGAAGCTTGTATGTCAAAAGCCAGCAATAAATCATACTGGGTAAGTGAACTGTTTATTGGAAGAAACATGATCTGCTCAGGAGTGCCAGCAATTCTTCTTCAGCAAGTCTTGCCCCATGAGGCAGTTGCAGAGACTAAAGGTTCCTGCCTTCCCGCAGCTGCCTAAGTCTCCTCTCTGCCTCTTGGCCTCCCTCCGATTCTGAATTTTCCTCTGCCACACCCTGTTACCTCTTCAGCTTCAAAACCTCCTCCTCCTCAGTCTTCTCCCTCTGACCATTCATCACCCTACCACCAATCCTGGAACTCCGAGTCTTCTTCCCTTGGGGGTTCTCCAGTTGGTACTGCCCACCATTTGTCTGCATCCAATCAGTCTATGACATTGTAATTACTTGTAGCAGCTGTTGATTCTAAAATATGCTATGGCCAGGATAAGGCTACACAGCCACATGATATGGCTGCCAGCCTGCCCACTCTGGCAATGCATGGCAGCACCAGATAAGAACAAGGGCACTGCTATGACTGCTTTCCTATTCTCTGCAGCTGAACAAGAATCCCAGTATTCCTGGAACAAGGACAGTGATTTATTGAAAGGAATGGAATGTGGCTTTCCACCAGACAGCAGTTGTCGGAAGCCTTTAGCTTCACCCTTCTGACCACTTGGAAGCTTTTCCCCTAGTTTAAAGGGTTGTTCCACAGATGCATAGTCATCCTTTGATGGCAGGCAATTACGTGCACATTTGCCTGGGCCATGAAATCTTGCACCTCTGGCAAACTATCATCTCACATTACACAATTCCCAAACTGAATGCTTTGGAACAGGTAATTTCATATACAGTGGTACCTCGGGTTAAAAACTTATTTCGTTCTGGAGGTCCGTTCTTAACCCGAAACTGTTCTTAACCTGAGGCGCGCTTTCGCTAATGGGGCCTCCCATTGCCGCTGCGCCGCCAGCGCACGATTTCCGTTCTTATCCTGGGGCAAATTCTTAACCTGAGGTACTACTTCCGGGTTAGCAGCGTTTGTAACCCAAAGTATTTGTAACCCAAAGCATTTATAACCCAAGGTACCACTGTATTCAACTACCAGTTATAAAGTATACTGTCATAATGCTGTCAGACAAGAATGTGCAAAGTGAGGCATTAATTCTTTATTGTCAAAAGTACAGTAACAAGTCATGAAAACGCATGCCCATTAGTCCTGCGTCTCTCAGCTAATCCTAGGTTTGCACCCGATGAGGCAGTTGCCGCAGCAGAGAGGCACACCCCCAACCTCAGCTTATGTATCTCCTCTATCCGAGCTGCACACAAGCAGGCGAAGACTCCGCCTTAGTGTAACCTTCTGCTCCTCCCACTTCAATCCGCTTCTGGTCCTGGGAGACAGTGAAGCAGCAGAGGTGAGGGCAGGAGGAGGAGGAGGAGGTGTGCAATCCCTTGACTCTACATCGAGTTTTTAAAAAAATTCTAGTGATGTACCTGCTTTGCATGCTTCCCTGATATACTACAGTGGCATGCTATGTTTCATGTTTCCTTACTACTGTCCATTGGAATTCATTTATTTGCCCTTATTTTAATAGTATGACAATTTATCTCTATATATTGCACACTCCTCTGAAAAAGGTGTGTGCATGAGAGTGCATATACCCACCCACACCCACATATATATACTTGAGTCAACTTCACTTAATATATTAAAAAAAAGTATTATTTGTTAGCACTTGCAGTAAGAGCTCCACACAAGGTCTGTGATCTCTCTTTAGAACTGTGTTCCTTTAAACTAGAAGCCAGCACCAAGCAAAACGATTAAAGGACACTCAGACTTGGCACTTCCTTTGATACAATACTGCCCAATTTGCATGCTGGAAGAAGCTTCACATGCTACACCAAATCAAAACAAGATGACAAAGTCTACTTGAAAATTATCATGACTTCAAAGAGAAGCAAGAATTACACTGCTCCGAGAATCACATATCAACTGTTTGACAAGATGCAAAGTATTGAAACAATCAGACTGATCGAATAACAACATTGGTAAGAATTACAACTGAGTAGCAGAACAATTAAATATTAGGGGCTTTTGAAGTAATATTTGGCAACATCAAATAATAATGAAATCTCCCCTTAAGTAATTTTGACATGAAGCAGGTGCCTTCGATGTACTCTTTCTAAGAGCCTGCTTCAAACATTTTTGTTTAGGTAAGCCTATTCAGGCACATATATGTTGGTGTGTTTTTAGCACTTTTTAGTTTACTGTTAATTCTAATTATGCTTTAAATGTTATAAATTGCTTGCTTTTCACTTTTTATTATAATATTTCTTGTAAATTTCAAAGAGGTTTTATTATAATCAAGCAGTATATAAATTTTGTTAAATAGTATTTCTTCAAAAGCAGTGGAAAATGTCTCTTTAGGGTGAGAGCATTTCTTCCTAAACTGGCCTCATTTGCCTTCAGTGATCTCAGTACATAGCCAAATCTGACATCATGGCACGTCATAACCAATAATTGTGGTCACCAGAGTTCCAAAGTCATTGAGATCATTATTTGACTGATCCAAGAAACACTGCTCCAAAACTGACTTGATTTCATTGGTCATTAGTGATGCTGTCATGTTGTAAAATCTAGCTGAATGCATCATTCTATTCATTGATTCCTACTCTACAGGCATTACCCACATGACTGTCTCACAAAGAAGACAACCCAGTAATAACATAAGAAAAAGACAACCACAATGGTGGAGGAGCATCAATAGATAGGAGAAATGAAGCTAGCGAATAAAGAAAAGTTAATACTAGCACAGGTAAGATTTTGGAGGGAAATTTATGCCACAAACATACACATGCAGGAAAAATATTTACTCACTAGCAAAGGTATTTATACTCACCTCCCTGGTCCTGAAATTACACTACAGTTTTAGCCATACATTTATTTATTTTTTGGTGTGATTCGTTTTTAATGTAATAAAATAGCACAACAGTCAATAACGAACTGTGAAAGCAATCTTCAAAACAAGACTAAAAACTAAAGTAAGCTAAAGCCAGATCAAGCCAAAGGCCTGGCAAAAATGTTTTAATATAGCCAAAAAAACAACACCCCCCCGAAAGGTTGTTCTTTCAGCGTTGTATTTCAAAGGTGCGTGCCAATACTCAGATTCACACAAAACGCACCTCAGAAAGAGGTGATGTTATTGGACAGGAAAGATGATACAGTCCTCTAGCTTTCCTGGTCCCCAGTCAGCAGCACACTGAGCTTTGCCCCTCCTCCTTTCAGTTACCGGCAGCAACACTCAACACTGGGAAGCAATGCTGTCCCACCAACTGCTCTTGTATCATTCACATACAAATGGCAAAAGATTCCAAACCTCTGGGTAATTTCCCTGTGGTTACTTGCAATGCCTAGCCACACAACTGTAGTTAAGAGCCCGTTCAAGAATTCCTTTAAGGAAAACAGAGTACGAGTGTTGGGTGCACACCTCTCCCTTCACCACACGGAGGAATTAAGCCAATGAACAATGAGAATTATTTTAAAACACATGCAAAAGGTATCTGGCCATCCAATAAAGCCTCCCCCTTCCCAATTCTTTCAATGACAAATCCAGGTATTTTTGACCCCTTTGTGGGATCACAAAGTCCACCTCAGCACTGCCTATTGGAAAAGGGTGGCTGCATTGCCTGAGCACTGTGGAGGAGCAAGAACAAACAGCAGGATGAACCTGATGCTGAGTGGGAGGTGGGTTGAAGCAGTGGTGGAGATGAGGATGTCAGAATGTTGGTGGATGAAGCAGTGAATAGACTTTCTAAAATTCTGCTGGACCAGCAAAAAGCTGGAACGATGCCAGGGGCTTCTGCTGCTTTTCTTCAGTAGTCCCTCCTCCCTGCCATAGATGCATCAGTGACAGACTCAGTAATCACTAGTGGCAGAACTAGTGGTTTTAGGGACTCCAGTGGTGATGGGTCTGATGTGTGGACCCAAACAGATGGCCAAACACGTGAACCGCCACTGCAAGCCCTGCATTATTCTCAGGAAGAAACTGGATATCCAGGTGTATAATGTGTTCAAATAAGGTGGCATGAACAGCTTGATACTTTCACCCTGTGTGTGAGGGAGGGGGTGAGTGTGTCCAAGACTCTTTACTGGGTTAAGAGTTCTTCCTGGAACATTAGCATTTCTAGTGTGATCAATTCCTCCTTCTTATATTAGCACTTCACCCTTCAGGCTGTCATACAGAGAGAAATGTCTCCTATATGTCCAAGGCATGGATGGGAAAGGAAAGTAATAGTTACTCAGTCAACATGCTATATACACTTCAAAAGATGAAAATTTTTATATACACTCAAGTTCATGATGTAAGAAAAAACGGTAACAATTCATTCCTTTAATTTATGACAAGTTCTTATCACAACAGAACTGTTTCCTGTAGAATGTGTGATGCTATTTGTCACAAACATACCACTTTAATAATTACCTGAAGTTGTTGTTCTAATGCAGCCGTAGCTTTGTCTCCACTAGCTTCATCTACTACAACAACCATATGTGTGAGGGAATTAACCTTGACTTGTTCCTGCTCCAAGGCTTCTTGAATGGCCTAAGACAAAAAGGGAGGAGAAAACCACACACACAAATCACTTATGTGTTATTACATACTTTGATGAAGTAAGCAGACTAGAAGTGGGGGGTGGGGGGACGACGACGACAATATTGTGAACAGAACTAGCAGAAAATTATGCCTTTACAGTGACATAGCACTTCTATTTCCTCTTGCCCCCGCATCTTTTCCAGAGGGTTTCCTCTGATTTTGAGCATGCGGGGAGGGAGACTGCATAGGGGAGGAGACCGGAAAGTTCCAGAAATGTTGGGTATCGCCCAATATCTTCCTCATTTTCACAAACCTTCAAGATATGCAATCCTAAATATTTTTCCTAGGCAGTATAATTGCAATCCTTTACACACTTACCGGGGAGTAAGCCCCAATTAACTCAATAGGACCCATCTTTTGTCAAGGGCACTCCCCAGCCAAACGAATGCACACGCCAGATAGTTAACTCTTTATTGTCAAAGCTGGCACTTACAGTCACTTCTATGGCTCGGAATACCCACACACACCAGTCCAGCATCTAAGCAGCCATTCCCAGGTCTGCGCTCTATGGAGCAGTTGCAGCAACAGGAGACAAGTCCCCTTCCACAAGTTTATGTACCTTCCCTCAATGGGCTGCATGCATGTAGCCAGAGACAATACCTATGTGGAAAGCTTCCTCTGCTCATCCCTCTTCAATCCCCTCCTGGTTCTGGGGACAGTGGTACAGGAGTGGGTGGGGATGCACCCAGCCCTATACTTGCATGACCTGCCTCTTCCTCCTCTTCTTCTGACTGATCCTGTGCTCCACCTCCCAGCTCTGAAGCTGTCTCTGCTTCTTGCTTCCTACCTAGTACAGTTCTCCACAATTCACTGACCCCCCTCTCCAGCCCCACTTCCCTCTGCGCACACTCATCTGTGTCCTGCCAGTCCCTGACACCTTTGAGTAAACACGCACAACATTATACTACAAACATTACAATTACTGTAGTGCTTAGTGAATATATATCCATGTGGTATGGCTATAAAGATGTTCTAGCTGCCTGTTTCAGAGGGCAATAGTAATGTTTCCCTTAAACAGAGTGTGTGGACTTTATTCTTTCTCTGGTGGGATTCCTTTTTTTTAGCACTCATGAGTCTGGTATTAAATGGTTATACTGTATTGACTTCTGAGGCGCTTCCTTTGATGCTTTTCATCAGCTGAGATGTAGAAGTTTGCCTAACCATTGCTCAGCTCTTTTATCCAATTGCAGGCAGGGGGGCACGGTGTGAATCAACCTAAAAGTCCTGGGACCTATCACAGGTTTTTGAAGGCTTTGGGGAAAGGGAATATAATCAGTGCTTTAGGTATTATAATTAATTTCATTTCTTTAATCTGGGCTTTAAATCAAAGAATCACAGCCCCCAAATGGTAAATAAATGCATAACTAAATAATAAAGTGTACCAGGACCAAGAAAATTGGTCTCTTTCCTACACTTCTTCACTTTCTCTCTAGGGGATAGAATGGTTTTTCACAACAAATTAAAAATTAAATTGTGAAATGCAACAAAAGAATCCAAAGGATATAAGAAAAAGCAAGACTGCTCTAAGGTAACTTTCCAAACTCTATTTTTGTCCAATCTCCATCAGCGCTCCTGCTGGGAGAGGAGAGTGGAATTTACAACAGAATTCATTCTTGCAAAATTCAGCATATACAGAGGAAACCAGTATGTTGGATGGGATGCAAGATTATGGTAGCTTGATGTATTCAAGAGAACACTGTCAACATATATTGTTTTGTAATATCATGTACCATATTTGATACTGTCTAAGAAATGACTTATGCCAAGGAAATAATGGCAGTGTCACCATCCTTCACCAGAAAGAAAGAATAACTTAATCTCGTGACACTTAAACTGGTTTGCAATAACATATATACAGATCACACAATTCAGTATCCTGTAATCATAAGCCCTGAACCAAAATTGATTTGTTTACATGTTTAATATGTTAATCAGACTAAGTTTGAAAATCAACAGCTTCTAGCTGACTCACGTTTCAACCTGCTGCAAATTTTCACATAAACACCAAAAGTTATGACTTGGAGGTAGAGTTTACAGTTTATTTATTTGAATTAGTATTTCTATATTCTACTCTTCACCTCATGGAACATTTATTTTCTGCCATGGATGCTGGGACTGGTAGCAATTCTTCCAGTCCCTGGTGAGGAAAGATGCTTAGATGGGGCCTGGAAGTGCCTCCAATCACAACTGCCTGCCTCACAGCAAGGGCTATTTTTGTGTTTGAGCAGGGGACTTGAGAAGAAGGGAATAGAAATAGTGCTCAACCCTCACCAATTATGCTACTGTCCATGAATGAAAGTTCATCTCTTGAGTTCATCTTTGCACTATAAATGTAGATTAACTATGCTATAAAGGGGAAGAGCTTGGTGCATAATGTACCTTAGCTCTCTACTGGACAGTTAAGGAAAACACACTGAGGTTAACAGCGCTTGGTCAGAGTGAATACAATGTTTCCATGTCAATGGCGTTTTAATTGTCTGCCATAATGTCAGTGGTACTTACTGCTAATGTTAAGTGGCACACCTTCTGCTAGGGATAGCATTCAAAGTAATCCCTTTTGTTATGCATTTGGTAACTTTATTTGCATCCCAACCTAGTGGGAGAAACATCATTGTTGGTTGGAAAATTTAAGATTTAGCTACCAGTACTCCAGAGGACTTAGGGACGCGGGTGGCGCTGTGGGTTAAACCACAGAGCCTAGGACTTGCCAATCAGAAGGTCAGCAGTTTGAATCCCAGCGACAGTGTGAGCTCCCATTGCTCGGTCCCTGCTCCTGCCAACCTAGCAGTTCGAAAGCACGTCAAAGTGCAAGTAGATAAATAGGTACCGCTCCAGCAGGAAGGTAAACGGCATTTCCGTGCGCTGCTCTTGTTCGCCAGAAGCGGCTTAGTCATGCTGGCCACATGACCTGGAAGCTGTACCCTTGGCCAATAAAGCGAGATGAGCGCCACAACCCCAGAGTCGGCCACGACTGGACCTAATGGTCAGGGGTCCCTTTACCTTTACCTTTTACTTCAGAGGACATGCCTTTGAGGGCAAGCCAAGACTACCACCTTCTGACAAGAACTCAAATATAGTTACAGGAGGGGAACTACTCATATAGAAGGTCAAAGGGATTTTGGAAGTCTCATTGATCTCCGTATCTTCCAGGATGTACTTTTTAGATAACTAGACATTCTGGTCAGCTCATAGGCTCCAGAAGATGCTTCCTTATGTACTAGAAGAATGTTAAGATTAATGTAGAAGCCCTGGCCTTAAGAGTGAACCATCTGATTGATTCTAGTTTATTTAAGTGAATGATCACTATTTTAAGGTCTGTTTCCCCTATCTGGGTTAAGAAAAAGAAAATGAAACATTAGGAGCTGAGCCAAGTGTTAAATTTGACAGATGAGGCAAATAATGCAGACAAAAAAGTAACCATTAATGCAGCATTTACCTTCAAGGACAAAAGAATTAATCATCCTTTTCGGGAAGGAAATAAAAGGTTACAAAACACATCAGAGAGAAGTGAAGGAAAATAATTATGGTGATGGTATTAGATAACAGACCTAAAGAGCAGCAGACATTGTTGCTGACCTCTCTACCTACAAAAACACCATGGATCCACTAATGCAGGAATCCAAACTCTTCCCATCGAGCTAGTACCCTGTCTCAACAGCTATAAGTGAATGGCATTTCCACACTGTATCATTCATTGCTGTATCATTCAGGTAAAATTTGTGTCTGTCATCTTCATTATATAATTTTTGGCAAAAGCTAAACACGTGCTTCTTTACCCTAGCTTTTTGACACATGAGATGTATAGGAATTACCTTATTTCTGTGGTTGTAAGTAGTTTTAAAGTGTTCTTAACACTGTGTTTTAATTACTTTAACCAGTGCTGTGACCTTACAGTGAAATGAGAAAGGGGAGGAGGTGAAGAAGAAGAAGAAGAAGAAGAAGAAGAAGAAGAAGGAGAAGAGGAGGAGGAGGAGGAGGAGGAGGAGGAGGAGGAGGAGGAGGATCTGGTTCATGAAACCAAAATGTTTCTTTGCCCCTGCCTTGGAGAACTACTGAATCCAGTCAGTGGAAGAACAGAGCAAGAGTATCACTGTGATCTGCATAAAATGTTATGACCCTTTCAGATTGCTTTGCTAAGATCAATATGTACAGCAATAAATAGGTATATGTATGTGGGGAAACTAATTTTTATGTACTGCTATAGTGAGTGTGATGTTCAGTCAAAGACTTCCCAGCCTATTTATGAATAATAATAGTATATTAATTGTCATTCTATTTTAATTAGTCATGAAAAGTTGCATTCATTTACAATGGTTTATGTATTTTATTTATAGGAGGAATCAAGTTGACAACCAAAGTAAACCCATTCACTCAAACTGGATATAGGCTTAGGCTGGCAGTCTTTATGTATAGCAGAAGCTAACAACAAAAAAGACAGTTGTACTAAAGTCTTTTGTTCACTATGTGCTAGCTTGTTGTTTTTATAATTAAATTCATTTTTCAAAAACATTCCACATCTTTTCCAATACAAAGGCAGGCACTCAGTTAGAATACTTTACAGTGCTCGGGGGCTGCATGCTCAGAGTCCCAGCACTGCTAATGAGATTAGAAATCCCAATTATAATAACTAATAGTGTCGATTTGCAACTGGAGGACTCTAGAAGGAAAGTACAAGATAGCAAAAGAAACCAGGGGAATAATAAAATCTGAAATGTTATTATTGTGTTTTCCAGTAAATAGTATATTGAAATTCCCTTTTCCCTTAGCACCCCAGCCCACTTTTTATTCTGTGAATAATGGCTGTGTGAAAGAAAGAAGAAAATGATGAGAATACTGGACTTATTAATAGAAAATCCAGAATTTCTGTGTCATGTTCTGAAGGTTTTGTTCAGTTTCAATCTAGATTTGCTTTTATTAAACGTTTCAATTTCCCAAGAATACTATGTTGGCATTTTCTCAAATATATATATTTAATTTACATATCCCCCTAGAAACAAATGGACTCAAGACATTTGTTGACTTTGCTTACCTTATGCTCTTCTACCTGCCGCTTTAAGTCCTCCAAATCAGGTCCCAAGGGCTCTGACTCTATCCTTTTTGTTCTTTCTTCTGTTTTAGGGCTAACCGATTCAGAGAGTTGGCCTTAGCTGCCTGATTTTGTAAATCCATGCAGGAATCGCGGGTGCAAACGTGGGAAAATATGTTTTTAATTTATGTTTATTTTTTAGAATTTATTGTTTAGAAACTTTAAGAAAACAAACATACAAAATGACAACATACCGTATAGTTTCAACATATTTATAATCTGATTCCATACCCCTCTTTATCCAAGTATAGTTCAACTAACAACTCCATTGTTACTTCAATCTCTGTTCTTACTCATAGCTCTAACATATCCTGTATTATTGTTCCTGAACCAAAATTTAATCTTTTATGTAGTCTTAAGATAACTTTTAAATTTCTCCATTCTTCTTCCACCGTCTCTTTCGTTGTCAGGATATGTTTAAAGCACAGAGATAAGTCAGGATGTAACATAGGATACATCGTCGCATTGTTTACTTAGCCACAATTCATTGTTTACCATAGCCTCATGTTAGCCATACCAATAAACTTTTTTTAAAAAAAATAAACTTTTGATGAGGAGTTCACAAATAGAGGAACAAGGTGTGGTTGCTTCCATGCTATAGTCCAGGGGTCAGCAAACTTTTTCAGCAGGGGGCCGGTCCACTGTCCCTCGGACCTTGTGGGGGGGATGGACTATATTTTGAAGAAGAAAAAATGAACGAATTCCTATGCCCCACAAATAACCCAGTGATGCATTTTAAATAAAAGGGTACATTCTACTCATGTTAAAACACACTGATTCCTGGACTGTCCATGGGCTGGATTTAGAAGGTGATTGGGCCGGATCCGGCCCCTGGGCCTTAGTCATTTATAAGAAACTGCTAAGAAACTGCTTTCTTTTGTATTTTAACACATTTACATTTCTTTATTCATTTATTATATCCAGCATTTCACCATTTGTTTTCAAAGTGGCTTGCAGCAATATAAAATACATAATATTGAAAATGTAAAACATGTATTAAACTCCAAAATTGTAAATCTCAATGATTTAAACTCTAACAAGGAAAAAATGAAAATACCTGAGAAGCATTCAGGGTGCAAAGGCTTAATTTTATCTTATTCTACACTGCTCTGATAGCTTTTGGCTGTGAATAGGTTTATAAATCTGCAAATATATATAAATACTTCCCCTCAATAAATTTAAATGGAAGTTTTACTTATCGCATAACATAGTACGAATTCTCCATGGCCAAGGTTCTTCTGCATGTGCATTATGACCATTGCTGCCATCTGAACATTGACCAGGTAGTGTGGAAAGGTAACCAACATATTTATCCCCCTCCCACCCCCAAAAAAGGAAACTTGCAGAGGTCATTGGGTGTGCTGAAGCTAGCATTCCTGACGACCCTTGGGAAATTAGGCTGGGAGCTGTATACAGCCTTTGGGCTGCAGGTTCTCCACCACAATTCTATTCTATTTATGAAATGTTCCATTCAGCAAAGGTTCCTTCCAATGTTAATTGCTTCCTGCTTGCAATTCTTCTCTTTTATTGCTTACTGCTGTGTGCAGCAGTGGCATTACTAATGGAAAACATTGCTTATTGTTCCTTATTGTTATAGTTTCTGTTCTAAGTTTTGATGGTTGAATTATTTTATTGTTTGAGTTGTGTGGGACCACCCAGGCGACCTCATTAATTGGACACTCAATAATGGTCCAAAAGAAATATATACCTCCACAAGAATGGAAATTGTCCTTAAAAGGCAACTAAGAGATACTATTGAAGTGGTAATTAACAGGCAGTCCTGCTGCCACTAAAGGACATGCCATTAAAGGGCAGAAACTAAAGGGCAGAACCTGCAAAGAAAATATGTAATTAATAGAATCCCTAATATGTCTCAATAGCACTTGACATATCCATACTAGCACCAAAATTCCATTAAATTTTCTTTTTAACGTGGGCCACAAAACAGATCTAGAACAGGGTCATCTAGTCCAACCCACTGCAATGCAGGAATCTCAGTTAAAGCATCCATGACAGATGGCCATCCAAACATGTTTACAATGTCATCTAGATGCAGCATAAAAGTTATATTTAAAAAGATGGTAACATCAAATAAAATAGAATTTCCTTGAAGCAGATATGTATTTAATGGTAATCAGTGGTAATCAAAATTATTTTTCCTTAAGAACCATTCATATTACAGTAGATTGATGATACAGCATGTTAAAACACAGAGATTTCTAGTTATATTTTAACTACAGTGAAATGGCCGAAGTGTTATACTCATTATTCAATAACCAGTTTTAAGGCTCACAAAAATCAACAACTAGACTATTGATAGGGCAAAATCCTTCTCACTGGAAATGTCAATGAAAAAGAATTATGCCTCAGAATACTAGTCACTTTACATATTAGAAAAACAACACTTTGCTTGCCTTTGGGGAATTTTCAGATTATGGTCATGATCCACAGAATCTCCTTGGGTTTAATTAGAACATGTGAAGAGAAATGACCAAAACCGTATTCACTTAAATGTTGAATACTTTTAGGACTGGTATAATTACACTGTATTAACTGATTTCCCTATATAATAATGTCAAAGAAGCAAATATTTTGACTTCTGAGAAAGGGTCAAATCCAGATAGAGATCCAAGTCCCTGCTATAACTGTTGCAACACAAACAACTACAACTGTATTGTGTGAGACTAGTATGTCTCTACCATTCCCTAAATATCCCAGTGCATTTTTTTGCATCAGTATTAATGGGATAGCAGCAAGACAGAGAAAGAATACAAACAGTGGTGGCTCTTTTTCTTCTTTCACCTCTTCCCTGTCCTACAAAACAACCCAACATTTTGAATCTTTAACAGCCAGGAGAGGTTGTTGGTTTTTTGGGGGGTGGGGGTGGGGGGGGAGAAGGAAGTAACCTTCCCAAACAATTGTGAAGACTTATGTTGTTGTTTAGTCGTTTAGTCGTGTCCGACTCTTCGTGACCCCATGGACCAGAGCACGCCAGGCTTATAAGTGAAGACTTATAGGGGGCTGTCAATTCTGGAATGCTTTATTATTGAATTATATGGTGAATAATACATACCATGGGATGAAACTAAGAAGTGGACAGAGAAGTCCTTTGTCAATTCATATTTGTTTATCTAAGCAAGGGATGGGATACCTCAGGCATGGGGACACCAAATGCAGCCCTTTAAGGCTCTCTGTTTGGCCCTTGGGATTCTTAGAAAGCCAGGTCTTCCCTCACCAGCCACACTCTGTGACTGACTCAAGTGCTTTATCAAGTCATTCTAAGTCCTTTGTTTTTAGTTTCCGACCACCAGTGTGCCTCAACTACACTACAAAAATAAAGAGGACAACTCTTATCATGTTAAACTAGTGTTAATATTTATCATTTATCTTTTTTCACAACCCTGCACCCCACCCCCACCCCACAAGTTATTTGTTAAGACCATTTGAGAGATTTAGAATGACTGGCCAATTCACAGTTTCTTCTGGGCTCTTAGGCAACTCTGAATAATGTGTTTTTGATAGCCTCTGAGATAGCTAAGGAAAAGTCCATATATTTATAGACCCAGTATTTCAAATATACCGTTTCATTCTGTGTCATATTATATCAAACTGTGGTGAAATGTTGCTATTTATTTTAGTAATCAGCTTCCAGTCTCTCAGCCCAGAAGCAAATGGATTTCAATCACATACAAAAAAGAATTGCTACGATATGGCAACGGTTTAATTATAACATGGTATATCAATGTTTATTGAGACAAGGAACATTATGGTTGAAAGCGATTTTTTAAAGCGATTTTTTTCACCACTTTTTTGTATGAAGTTTTTCTCTAACCTTTCACACATTTATTTTAGCTAATGCTTAACAGAAGGTCTAATACTGAAATCTAATTTAAGGACAATTATGAAATCTTTTGCAATGTGCTTCGATGTTAAACCAGCCTTTTTGTTCTCAAAATATCCATAACTTAATTTGTCATGGCAAGACCTTTTACTAAACAGATTCAATTTTTAAAGCCTTCATGCATTATTTTGTTGCCAATTATGCAAGAGAGTCAAAATATTGGTATCTATGAGGGCAGGAAGCTTTAACGAGTAAGTGAAAAACCTTTAGCAGATTAACCAGTAAAGAGCAAAAGTAAGTACACAATAGTTCAATATTTTTTTGTTTTGTTCTGGTGCATTATTATATCGATGAATAAAAATATATTTTAAAAATAACATATATACATTTTCCTTCTAATAATTCTGGTCAATATACTTGTATCCCAGTAACGCTGTCAAGATTAAGGATAGGCACCAACTCATTTAATGACATGAGATTCACCATCTGGCATCGCATGACATTGCAAGTCATGATGATTATATTTATTTATTGAAAGTAGTTCTATGCCCCTGTTCAGAGTCCCCACAGAATGGTTTACCTAAGATTGTTGCAACAATATTACGCCCCCCCCCAAAAAAAAAATCACCATAAAATTGAAATATGACTGTTTACTTGAAAGTTGCAACTTATTTTTCCCCTCCTCTCTGCAGGGTAAGAATTTGCTATGGTGGCAGTTTGAAGAAAGAGGGGCCACCACTGGGAGCTGAGTGGTGGCAGTTTATCAGATTGTTCTTCTCCTGTCCCATCAGGGCAAGATGGCAGACTGTATTATACATGCCACAGCTCAAACGATCTATGATTCCATTCTATAACCAAGTATTCTTCCAGCACAGGGGGCTAATCTCTTATCCCCAATGTCTGAACCAGTCAAGCCCAGCAATTCTTGCCAGTTTTGTTCTTCAGATTACTAGGGTTTACTGCTTTCCCAAGGCTTTTCCTTACTGATTCTTCTGGACATAAGTAGCTTTATTTTGATAGGATGCTTTCCTCAATCAGAATAATTATAGTTTGCCCAAAGAGAGGAAAATGATATACTATTACATTGTCCTCAAGCATTTATTTGCTTCAAGGACAAAACTGATTATCCCAATACCTTTCATACTGTTGGGAACTTGTCATTTGAAGCAAGTGATGCATATCAGGGCAAAAGAATTTGTAAGCTCACATATACACTGAACTGTTGGTGACTAACCAAGAAAAAGATTTTGGGAGTCATGACCGATAAACACCATTAAAACTTTTAACCCAGTCTGTGCCAGAAATATAAGAAACTCCGTATCGGGAATTACTTATTCCTCTATTTCTATTAACATTTGTAACCCACATTTCTCTCTTACTAAATGGAGCAGATGACAAACCATGCAAAACAATAATCCAGTCAATTAAAACACAATAAATTCAGCAAAACAACACACTAAGGCAAAAAATAATAATGGTACATTCAAGAGGCTCTCTTAAAGAATGGAAAGTTCAAAAAGGAGTAGGTTGTCCTTATGTGTAAAGGGATTGAAAATAAGATGGCTAATATTACCAAAGACTTTACACATATCTAAAGTGTGGCCCTGTTTGGAATATGGAGTGTGATTCTGATTTCCCAATCAGGGAGTATTATGGAGCTATAAAAACTGAAGAAAACCAACACACATTTGATTTCACATCAGGTGGCTTTCAGCGTTAAACACAATAAATCATTAACAATAATCACTATAAAAAACAACCAGTTTTTATGAATAAAAAATACAATTGTACCTACCTGAAGTGTCATTTTCCATTCCCCATGAAAGTCCAGCTGATCGGGCAGAGCCACTAATCTGCTGACTTTTCATGGCAGGAATGGGAAAAGTAACACTAGACATCAAAATTGTGCGATAAAATTGGTTGACAGGAGAGGCAAATAAAAGTACTTCTTTACATAGCGCAAAAGATAGAAACAGCTGCCATGAAAGATGGTGACACTCACCAGCATGGCTTGCTTTAAAACAGGAGTAGCTAATCCTCTTTTTGGCACCAGGACTGCAGTCACCCAGGGCCAACCACGTGGGGACACTTACCAGTGGTGGATGTGGTCAGAACACAGTGCCATGTACACATGTGTGCGCACACACAGAGAAAACAGTTTATCCAATGACTGTGGTCGGGGAAACATACATCCCCTTTACTATGCCCACCACAGTTCTGTGTGTACTTTAAAAAAAGTTTTTTGGTGGCGCTGTGGTTTAAACCACAGAGCCTATGGCTTGCCGATCAGAAGGTCGGCGGTTCAAATCCCCGCAACGGGGTGAGCTCCCATTGCTCGGTCCCTGCTCCTGCCAACCTAGCAGTTCAAAAGCACGTCAAAGTGCAAGTAGATAAATAGGTACCGCTCGAGCGGGAAGGTAAACAGCGTTTCCGTGCGCTGCTCTGGTTCGGCAGAAGCGGCTTAGTCATGCTGGCGACATGACCCGGAAGCTGTACGCCAGCGCCCTTAGCCAATAAAGCGAGATGAGCGCCGCAACCCCAGAGTCGTCCGTGACTGGACTTAACGGTCAGGGGTCCCTTTAGCTTTTTACTGAAATCAGAGTAGTCTGGGAGGGCCAGAAAAATGTGCTTGCAACAATAGTTACCCTTGCTTCACAAGGTGATGAGACAATTTCATGGGAGCTAAATGAAACCTCCCCATTAAGAGGCAATATCACCACTGGCAAGCAATTGCCTGAGAGGCAACCATAGGGGAGCGCTCACCTTCGTACGCAGCTTGCAGGCTTCCTTGAGGCATCCTGTTGGAAGCAGGATGTTTAACAAAATCTGGACTGTTCCAGCAGGACTATTTTATGTTCTTAATTACAAATTAAAACATGCTGTCAGGGGTTCAGGAGCAGAGGCAAGGGCAAGGGAGGAAACAGAGAGCGAGGGGGAGGAGGCAGAAGAAAAGATGAGTGATGACGACGACCCGAGATCTCCGAGTCTTTCCAGTGAATCAGAAGATTCACAGAAAGGAGCACCAGTGGCCAGGGCAAGGGGGGGAGACTAGGGGGACACCCCAGGAAGATAGAGCCAGAGGGGACTCAGAGGAGAGCAGTTGGAAATCGGGACCAGCGTCACCGCCAGAGAGCAGGGAAGAGGAAGGGCGCCAGGGATCAAGCGCTGGCAGCTCACAACAGGGGGGAGGGCACGAGTCAGGAGTGGCCACACCTCCATCGGGGAGCGAAGAAACGGTCAGACGGAAAGTGGAAGGTTGGGCGCGCGCGCCAAGTTCAAATGCACAGGAAGGTGGCGCAGTGAGCAGCCCGGAAAGGGAGCCAGGTCCTAAAGCCCGGCGCAAGGAGACAGAAGGGTCCGGGGGGTCAGCGTCAGAAGAGTCCCGGAAGGAAGAGACCCCGGGGGGCAGAGGGACCCAGAGAAGAACAGTCAGGCGGAAAAGGTGGAGTAAGGCTAGGGTACTAAGTTGGTGTACAGGGGGCGGAGATTCAGACGGAGCTTCGCCGGTCTAGCCCTTAAGACGTAGAGTTGCACGCAGCAGCTTGAGAATGGAAACTGTAACTCAATAAAAGACTTTTACAAGTGACCGCTGGCTAGCGTGATCCTCTGTGAGCTAGGATCTGGAAGCAGCTCTGACACATGCTAACACCATTTTAAGAATAGTTTCTACCAGTAAGCTGGAAGCTTTTTTTAAAACCCAACTGATCTCTGTGACCTTGTGAATCTGGATTCAATCTGTATACTCCAGCTACAGATACCTAATGTTCAAGGGAAGCACAGAACTGATATCAAAACGCACCAAATACCCATCACATATATATTTTAATGTCGACCTGTCTGAGGACACTGTGAACACACAACTAGGGCCAAGTTTATTTTAATAATAGTGTTTTAAATACATCCACACAACACATGCCTATTTTCTAAGTACATAAATATGACTGTTCCGTTTTTAAACTGGCAGTATTTTTCATCAGTCCTTGCAGTTCTGAAATTATTTAAACACTGTGTATTTGATTGGGAATACTGTCAAATCTTTTGTTCTGATGTAAGTATGGGTCTCGTACTATTTTAACAATACACCTTTTTCCTTAACAAAAGGTGAGGAGAGAACAGGAAATTATAGTTTTGGAACTGGAATAGAAAGCAGTACACCCAGTTGAAATGACATAATCAACCATAAGTGTATTAAAAAGAAGAAGTTGCTTTTAAAAAGAAACCTACAAATATATGACAAACTCTCATTGCAATATGGGAGCTCCATTAATCGAGCTCTACTGTAAATGATAATTATGCCATTAATCTCATCATAGTTTAAAGCAGCTTATCATCACACTGTTCTAGGCTGTTTTGTATCTTAGGTTCTGTCAGATTTGTGTGATTCTGAAGTAAAATTCCAATTGAACTAAATCAGAAATGGCTTTGATTATCGCTCTTGGAACCGCTCTCACTCACTTAAAGCACAGGGTACACATCTGACTAGCTTCAGTTTTCACATCCCTTGCTCTTGTGAACTCCAAGATGGCATGAGCACTTTATCTGAAGGCCTATCAACCAGTTCTTTGCTGTTGGTCAGGTATAAGTCCAGAGTAGTAGAGTCCCTTGTTGCTTTCTTTACCTTCTAAGAGATTAAATTGTCAGCAAGACTAGGCAAGAATTAATTGGACACTGTTCTGTTCCAGATGATGATCCATGTAGAACAAGGGTCCTAGTCAAACAGGAGGTTCACAGCAATCACAGTCAAGTGACAAAAGAGCAGGAACGAGCAAGGAAAATCCATACAGAGCATGTCCATGCTTTGATAAGCTACAATCCAACAGAGGCAAATTAAGGCATGACATTCAAGAGGGTCAACTTCCGACAAAAGTTTTGAATCTTGCTTAAGTAGCAGCCTGATTGAATCAATCAACCCCTGGTGGGGAGAAGCCTCTTTAGCTCAAGGGGGCTTACCTGTGAAGAATGCTAGATTGGAACTTCTGGGATGGACATATTAGAGTTGGAGAATGGCAAGACAACTTCGTATAGCTACATCCTGTGCCAACATTTCTGGGGCAGTGAGGAATCCATGGGACATCTTTGACAGTGATTCCCTCTGATTCTCTGACTCTTCCTTCAAATCCATGGCCTTCTTGCCCCAGGGGGCACAGGGGAGAGGAGTCTGATTGTGGGATTTTTAATTTTTTTCATTTTCAGCAGTTAGACTTCAGGCAGATATTAGGCTGCTTGAAATAGCCCATTACTAGAGTTATTCAGGAAAGGATCAGCCATGCTTTCCAGCTGGCTGAGGAGTCTGTAGTATGCTGTTTTGCTTTCCTTCAGTTGCTACACAGATTCTTTCAATGGTGTTTCCATATTGGCATATATATTCTTAACATATAATGCAATTCCCCATCCTTCTATGTTGGATATATTCCTTTTGAACAAGGTATACCCTTCAAGTGCTGAATTTCAATCATGAGACTCAAAGTCTCACTGATACCTATCAGATCATACTTTTGACTGCCAGTTCTGAAACTGCCAAGGCTGTTTATTCACATAGATAGGGATAGCAAAGGTATGGAAAGTCCCCATTCCCTTCCTAACAAAGTGCAATAACAAGATAAAAGTTTATGTGGGAATAACTTTTGTACTGAGTGTGAAACTTCTCTCAATAAGGCCTTTTAAAATGTGAGCTTGCAGATCTGTGGCTCTAGTCCATCTGTTGTGCTCCACTTCCATTCTCTTACAATCAATTTTGACACTCATGAAATTGCAGCAAAGCAAGATAAATACAACAAAATCTCAACTAAATAGCACACCCTGCAACAATATTTGCACCAATTACAAAAGTGTTTGCCCAAGTTTATATTTACTCACTTGCTCTGTTTTTCCATACTTGTGACCCTGAGATTTTCCCATCGTGAATTAAGAAGATTCATTTGTTCTTGTATTTCATTTTCTTCATCTTCTGAAAGCTTCCCAAATGACAGAAGTTGGCTGCCTATTTGCAAAACATCACCAACACGTCCCTGGTGAGCTGTTAATTCCATCATAAAACCCTTCAAAAACAATTTTAACAAAGATTACCACCAGAGAAAGAAAGATGTATTTAGAAATTACAGATTCTATTGAAAATTCTAAACTTTATTCAATAAAATGTTTTGACAACAATTTTAGACTTTTTAATACAAACAAATTTGGCTGTTGCTAGAACACAGTCTTTTGAGCAAGAGCAAAAGGAAGACCAAAGTACCAATTGAATATCAAGCTTTTGGTCTTAATGCTGCAAAACAGATAAAAGATCAGCAATTAGCAGATGGTGAAGTGTTTGTGTTGGTTTTTCAATCTGTGTTGTTCACACATACCTCGTGGGTGTGAAACTGCTCTTTAACTTCTTCTACATCAGTGGATATATCTCCCTGTGCTTGCAAAGAATCTTCAGTAGACAGAAGCCATGAGAGTACTTCTTCTAATGCAGTTTGGTAGCCTTCCAGATCTACTTCTGTATCCATGGGTGAAGTTGCAAATAATCTCTGTTCATGTGTTTCCAAACGCTGCACAAAAAAGGGAGAAAGGCTTTTTGAGCAACATCCAATTAATCTGGGATCAAATAGTTCTTCTATCCTACTAAATGGAATGCAGTTGTTTTAATTCTGCGTAACAGTTTCCTTTTGGCATCAAAATCCTTATGAACATTCTTTGAAATATCACTGAGCAAAGGGACTGGGAGGAAAGCACAGATAAATATAAAATGAATTATAAGTCATTCTTCATGCACACCACTGTTATAAGTTCAAGTATATAAATATATCTAATTTTTATGAACTGTGTAGAGCTCACCTCCTTAATTTATTGATCTCAGTATGATGTCCAAGCAATTGCATTTTATCTGCATGCAAACAATGCTACCCAGATGCAATAGAAAAGATTTTAAATTAAAGTTTACATGCATGCAACAGTGGGCTAAAATAATTCCCTCATACTTATTGATATTGCAATTTACAGTTTTTGAAAACTGTGTGTGTCAATATACAAGTGTAAGTCTGCAGCAAGGGGACTGTAAGATGAAAGCATCTTCCCTTAGTTTCAGAACTCTGACTGCCTTCCAGAGCCAGCCCACCCATGAGAAAAAGTGTGGTGACCACCTCAGGCAGCAGGATCCACAGGGGCAGAAGAGCCTGTGTTAATCTTTATTGCTTCCTTGTTTCTGATGTAGATATTCACTTCTCCCCTGGTGTGGGGACATGCCATTTTGGAGTTCGCCTTAGGCACCAAAATGTATTGGGCCGGCCTTGCTGTGTATACACAACACACACTGTGGTTTGTTAAGGGTTTCTGGGAATTGTAATGTTGTGAGTGGTAAACTGCAGTGCCCCAATTTTTTGAGGGAAAGACTGTACTTTGAAGATATAGTGTGTATATATCAGTCAAACAACTCTCTTTCTTTGATGATATGTGTCAGCTCCTGGTCATAAGGAATGACCCAAGATGTCTGAGGGAAGTAAAACTAACAAAACTTCTCAGCTGGCTTCTGTACATCTGTTGGGGATACAGAATTTCTCACTTCATGTGGTGGGTGGAAAGCCTATTTATTTGTTTACGTCACATACCAGTCTTCCATACAAGTCAATGGGGTAGACAAGATCAGACAATAAACACAAGAAAGAGAGATTAGGTAGGTATATCTTGAGCGATGGAAGCAGTATGGCTGAGTGTGCACACACTCAGAGGATGACCTCCAAGCCATTCTAAATATCTTTGCAGAAGCTTATGAAAAGCTTGGCCTATCACTCAACATCCAAAAAAACAAAGTGCTGCACCAACAAGTACAAAATAACCCCTCTGCAGCACCACAAATCCAACTCAATGGTGTAATGTTGGAAAATGTCGATCATTTCTCCTACCTAGGCAGTTATCTTTTCACAAGAGCCAACATTGATGCCGAAATCCAGCATTGCCTGAGCTCTGCGAGTGCGGCTCTTTCCCAATTGAAATGCAGGCTGTTTGATGACAGGGACATTCACAGGGAAACCAAAATGCTTGTTTACAAAGCTATTGTACTACCATTCTTACTGTATGCTTGTGAAACATGGACCACTTATAAATGCCATCTCCAACTCCTTGAAAGTTTCCATCAACGGTGTCTCCGAAAAATTTTACACATCACTTGTGAAGACAGGCAAACTAATATCAATGTATTGGAAGACGCAAAGATCACCAGTGTTGAAGCAATGATTCTTCAACATCAACTTCGTTGGACTGGTCATGTTGTGCAGATGCCTGATGATCATCTTCCAAAGCAACTACTCTATTCCAAACTTAAAAATGGAAAGCGTAATGCTTGTGGTTAACCAAAGAGATTTAAAGACAAGGCAAATCTAAAAAAATGTAGTATAAACACTGACAACTGAGAAACACTGGCCTGCGAGCGCTCCAGTTGGAGAGCAGCCTTTACCAAAGGTGTCATGGGCTTTGAACAGTGTTTCCCAACCGGTGTTCCGCGGCACACTAGTGTGCCGCGAGACGTTGCCTGGTGTGCCGTGGGAGGGAGGCGGGCGAGTCGGGCAGCGAGAGGCGGGGCGGCGGCGGCGAGGATCCGCGTCGAGCCGGGGGTGGCTCCGCGGTGGTGGTGTCGAGGTTTCTCTTTCCATTCTCCCCTCACACACACACACAGGAAATAACACAGGATCAGCTGACAGGACCCGGCCAAAGGGGCGGCGGCGGGGCAGCGCGCGCAAAAGGGAGGAGCGCGAGACAGCGGACGAGGAGGAGGCCAGCATGTCCGGGCAGCAGCAGCAACAACAGCAGCAGCAACTCCCGGCGACGGCTCCTCAAGCCCCGGGCAACCCTACTCCCTCACCAGCCTCGGCCGCCCTCCTGCTCCACCCGCCGCCGCCTCCCCCGCCGCCGGCCACCTCGGCCCCGCCGCCGCCCCCTCCTCCGCCCGCTATCGCCGCCACCACCACAACAGCCGCCGCCGCCTCAGCTGGGCCCATGCCTGCTGGGAGCGGTGGCGGCAGCAGCAGCAGCAGCGCCCCGGCGCCCTTCCCTCCCGGCGTGACGCTGCGCGCTGACGTCACGGGGCTGTATTGGTTGTGTGCCTCAAGATTTTTTTCATCAAACAAGTGTGCCTTTGCCCAAAAAAGGTTGGGAAACACTGGCTTTGAAGACACTCGAACTCAGGACGCAAGGGAGAAACATGCTAGGAGGAAGGCACACTTGGCAAATCCACGCCATGATCAACTCCTGCCCAGAAACCAATGTCCCCACTGTGGAAGGATGTGTGGATCCAGAATTGGCCTCCACAGTCATTTACGGACTCATTGTTAAAACTGTGTTTATGGAAGACAATCTTACTTGGCTACGAGTGATTGCAGAAGAAGAAGAAGAAGAAGAAGAAGAAGAAGAAGAAGAAGAAGAAGAAGAAGAAGATGGCTGAGGTGGTTGTGCAGCTTTCTCTCTTGTTGTAAATGGCCCTAAAGGGAAGACCTACATTGCTCTGGCGTGGAAATGTCACAGGGTGTACCTGCATGAAGCTCAGATACCCATTCACATGCCCACAGCCAGGGAGATGCACAACTTCTCCTATTGCCACCTCCTTCCTAATCAGAACTATGTTATAAAACAGCCTGTCTTTAATTGTGCAGTTTATTATGGTATAAAAATCTCTGCTGAACAGAATATGTGGTTGCTACATAAGATTATTAAGTGCATTCATTTTTAAACTAATCAATTCAGGGCAGTCTGAAATATTTCCAAGATTACATCCCTCCCACACTAACGTTCATGTTACACACAAAGAAAGAATCTGTAAAAAGGCTAGAGGAAGGGGATTCACAGAAGCTTCCTCTCACACTCTGTATAGAGAGACCTACTAAAATGTGACTCTAACCAGTCAAACAGAGCCCACTCACCATTCCCCCTCCCCCCTCCCCCTCCCTAATACTGCATGCAACACTGTCTTACAATAAATGAAACTGATCTGTAGAAAACACAACTTGAGTTTATTTTTGTAAACTTATAAATCTTTAATAAAAGTATATTTTTTTAAAAAAATAGAGCCTCAGAGACTGTGGCCTTGATTCAGTAGGGTGAATAAAGTAGAGGAAAGAAAGCACTAATTTATCCCGATTTGACCAACATGGGGCAAGGGGGTGACACTGGAGGGTTACTAAGAAAAACAACAGATAAGATTAGTGAGAAATGTGGACATGAACTATTGTTGTTTTACATTTCCTATTTTGTTTGAAAACAACTAGATTTGTGGATCTGCCTATTTATCAAGATCAGAATATATCCCTGTCAAACTAATCCAAATTATTCAATATTTCTCATTGAGAGAAATATTAATTTTAACCATCCTGTAACTTTAAAATAACAATTTTACAATTTGTATATGAAGTAAGGGGAACGCCAAAAATAAATAAAAATCCTTTATATTACTGTCCAGACTGGAGGACTCAAAGGGCTTTAAAACTTTAATTCAAAGTAAATACGACTCTAGAATGCCTGTGACTTTCAGAAGCTTAGAAAAACCAGACAAGCTTGGCAGCTGTTTCCATTGATTCACAGAGCCTATAAATAGAAAAGTATAGATTTACCTGCACTGAAAGATTATCTATTATAGTATTAAATTTAATATTTCTAACCTTCTAGAGTCTCAAAAACCCCTGCACAGAAAACATGCACAATGTGTTTGTGCACTTGTGATGTTGTCTGCAGAATCCATACAGCACCCTCCTGCCTCAGAGCAGGGAGGCAACCTGTTCCCTTGAACCAGCAATGCTACTCTTTCATTAAAACATGTTCTACTGCAAGCCCACAACAGAGCATGGGAAAATTAGCTAGTCCATAGCTACCAAACCACCTGAATTTAATGTTCCTTTTCCAAGAACAGAGAGAGGATGATCTAAAGGACAATGCAGATCCAAAGCCAATTAGTAGATAAAGAGGTCGAATGTAACATGCAACCCTGCAAGAGTGCATCCGGGGTTAATAAATCTGTAATGTTGCAATTCAGTCTTGCCCAAATTGACTTAAATAATCCATGGCATCTGAATCGATTGCAGCTTTATTTTCCAGTGACAAAGATGTACAGTGGTACCTCGGGTTACATACACTTCAGGTTACATATGCTTCAGGTTACAGACTCCGCTAACCCAGAAATAGTACCTCGGGTTAAGAACTTTGCTTCAGGATGAGAACAGAAATCGTGCTCCAGCGGCGCGGCAGCAGCAGGAGGCCCCATTAGCTAAAGTGGTGCTTCAGTTCTTAACAGTTACAGGTTAAGAACGGACCTCCGGAACGAATTAAGTACTTAACCCGAGGTACCACTGTATACTAATCCATCTACCATTTGTAATTTACAGTGTTATGAATTCTCAATAAAATATGCAATGAGTAGCATTAAAATGAATCAAATGTATCCAAATGTATAACCCAAGAGGTTTTTGCTTAGAGAACAGGATCAGATTTACAAAGGGTGGAGGATCATCCTCCAATTAATTTTAAGTATTTTTTCAAGCAACATTTATTGATCCTTACATTACCTTTG